AGGAGGAAACCGAGTATATATCGCCGCCAGTAGCCACACGTGTGTCTGGACCAAAGCCAGGCAAAAAGAAAAAGAAGAAAGGCAAGGGGAAGAATCCTAGCGGAGCTGATAGCAAACCAAAAGATGAAGAGGACGACGGCTTGGATGAAATTGATAGAACCTTGAAAGAGCTTGACGAAAAGTGAGGAAGACTTACCCTATGTTTACAAATTTGCTGCGAATGCGGAACTAAAGCCATCCTTGTTACAGATTTGGACAGATATCAGGACCTTCTTCCGTCCCAACGGCCTCTAAATCCCCTCACAGTACAAAAACATTACTTTCGGTTGATCCCAAAGCTCTTGACGCTGATGCAGAAATGAGACGAATGTTTGGTTCACGGGTGGTCAGTCTCGATAATGATTCAACAAGGACGTCGGTAACCAAAGTGAAAATGTTGACATCTACTATTTAGGTGAACGATGAGATTCGTCGAAAGAACTACATACGAAGTGGAAAACGGACAGCCCTCGCTGTAGCGCGCGAGAATTGGCCAAAGTGGGCGAAGCTCGGATTGGCAATGGATCTACTGGAAACGAAGGATGGTGAGTTAACCGCGCCTGGAAAACCGTAGATTTGACCGCTAGAGAGCTTACTGCCTGATGCAGGGCTGTCGTATTTTGCTTTCAACCACTCCCGGGCGTACCAAGAAGTACAAATGGGTTTCTTCCAAGCCATCAGCACTCACGATCCCCATACAATGCAGACACTCCTTCATGTATATCCATATCACATTGACTCTCTCCTTCAACTCAGCGAAGTTTGCAAACACAGCGGTGATATTGCTATGGCAGCTGAACTCGTAGAAAGAGCGTTATTTGCGTTCGAACGAGCCTTCCATTCACAATTTAACATTGCGACGGGCACCTGTCGAGTGTCATATATGCGTTTCGAAAATCGCAGCTTCCACCTGGCAATTTTCCGCCAAATTGGGTACATTGCTAGGCGAGGATGTTGGCGCACAGCATTTGAGTTTGCAAAGCTTCTCCTCAGGTACGTTGCCTTATTGTCTCCTTTTTTTCATTAGTGGTTTTCCAACACTTCTGTTCACAGCCTTGATCCCGATGACGACCCGCTTGGTACCCTTTTGAGCATAGATTTTCTATGCTATCAGCGCAAAGA